TCTAGGACCACATTCACAATTAGAGACAGAGAAGCTGGGTAACAGCTGCAGCAGTCAGGGAGACAACAGCTTGCACATATTGAAACATACAGAAACACTCTTTCCAGAAAACTGGACTATATCCGACTATTTGCTTGGGGCGGGGCGGGGGGGGGAACCTAAATGCCCAAAGGCAGCCAGTGCTGTCCCCATGCCAGCTTCCAGCTCCATCTGGGCATCCCTACAGCCTCAGGAGCCAGCAACTGCTGAGCACACCGCAGCACTAATAGCTGCTCCCTCACGGGCTCCTGCTAAAGTGCACGCTGTCGGCTGAGGAGGAGGAGGAGGACGCTGAAGCAAAGCCAAGCTGAGAGGTAGGTAATGCTCAAAGGCATGGCAATTTGCTTTACCTATCAAGCACTGAAGAAAACTTTCCCAAACCCTGGCACTTTGCTACAAGGGGGCTGACCAGCGGTGGTATTTTATCTTTAGAACAGCTGGTTTTCTTTCTGATGCTCCTCTGTTGTTTTTTGGACTCTGGGAAGCCTAAATGCTGCTCCTGCAGCTGCCTTTTCACTGTCTTGGAAGAGGCTATGTTGCAAGTTGGTCACTCCTTCTTTCCTGGCAGATTCCTGTATTTTTGCACCCATGGCTCTGGATAACCTGGTGCATCTGTCAGCTCTGCAGCACCTTCTCACCTTTGGTAATCCAGTCCCTAGTGCGGAGGATGTGAAACACAAGCATGCTGGGGATGTTTTCAGCTCAGGTGCTGTGTGTTCACACTTCGGTGATGTCCAAAGGGCTGATCCTTTCTCTCCTGAGTAGTTCTCTGAAAACACTTCAAATGAAGTGTGTGTCTCTCACTACTAGCAGAGTTGGCTGCTTTTTATGACAGCAGGATTTTCTCTCTGCATGCAGCAATTCCCTACCCTCTGTTCTCACACGACAGGTAAGCCTCCTCGTGCAGTGCAATGTGCACTCAGTGTCCACGAAGGAGCCAGAGTGGATGTCAGGGCAGCAGTAGGAAGCATCTGCCTGCCCAGCTGCCTCTCCCCCACAGCCTGTGGCTCAGCCCTGCACCACACAGTGAGCCAGTCACTTTGCTGATGCTGCTGAAAACTTTTTGTTTCCTGGAAGATTGGATGCCCTTGTTTTTGAATAAGATCGATTTTCATCCATAGCAGAAAGACCTCCCTGCTGTGCCCCTTGGAATGCTTCAGGACAGCATAGCCACACTGAAGCTGGAGCTGTGCTAACTGGAGTTATGACTATTTTGCTAGACTAACCTCTCAGAATCCTTTCTAGGTTTCTCCATTATTTTTGTATTGGCTGTGTGAATTTTTATCCTGAAGAGTTTCTTGGAGAATCACCAAGCACCCTTGGGATCAGCAGGATGGAGGGTGCTGAATGCTTTTTCTGATACGTTGTATAACACCTGAAGGCTATTTGTATGATTTTGTTAGCCTCCAGCACCTTATGACAGACCATAGCCTAGGATTCTAGACATAAGATTAGCTAAAAAACAACTCTGTATTAAAGGCACGACTGGATGTCAGACTTGCAGATATTCCCAGGGCTGAGTTTTTAACATCCTCAGTGATTTAAAGATGCTATTTTTTCACAGGTTTCTAGAGAGTCTGGAGACAATTGTGTAATTTTCCTGTGCAGTCACTTCCTTCTTTTGTGCAGAGGTGTGTTTTAGACCAACCTAAACAGCAAGAGCATTAATGAAATCATGATGGGAGAACACTCATACTCTTGAATAGCATGTCTTACTGGGAAGTACATTAAGTGTTAACCTCTCTTGGTTTATGTGGTCAGCTGCTGTTTGATGTCTTATCACAAACTTATTCACATTTCAAAGAGAAAATAAAACCCCAAAATGTTGTGCACCTTTTTTTTTCTTTTTTTAATGATGTGATTTCACTTTGTTGCCTTGGACTGTGGATCTATTTTATTATAGTACAGAGAAGAACTTCTGTTTTAAATTTGCTTTTGATTTTCCGAGGTGAAATGAGCCATAGCAAGAAAAAATGAGGGTTGGTTTGTTCCATCTTCACACCCATTTTGCTGATAAAAGTCCTAAAGAGTCAAAAAGACAATCTTACTTTATCTCAGCTTATCTATCGTTGACAAAGTGAGGTGCAAAGATTTCCCAGTGCTGACTGCCCCCATGTACATGCTGGGCTTTCTTTTTTTAAAGGAAGTTGACACTGGGAAGAGTTTTCCAAGTTTGGAATCGCTTGCTTTGTACATATTTGATAGAATAAAGGTAAAGCAAGCAGACAGCATTTTGGATTAAGGAAACATATACATCCAAACCACTATATTTTTTTTTGTTTTGTTTTGAACATTATTTGAGATAATTCAAGAGCTTTCTTTTTGTTCAAAGAGTGCCTACAGCACTGTGACTCAACTCTTGACTTTGGGATTTCTCAGATGTTCTTTGTTCTGTCCAAGAAATATGGACACATTACCATTTTTCTTGTCTATAAATTAGGTCTGGTCTTGAGTTAGCTCCTGCTCAGAAAGACCCTCAAAATGATAATGAAACTTTTGATATTTTACTCTCCTGCCTACCAACTTACAAGGCAGGAAGTCTTGAATTATTGGTCCTTGGAATTATCTGAGCTTATCAGAAAAGAGTCAGCAAAAGAAAATATGTGCGTTATAAAAGGAAATAGAGGTTTTAACTATGCAGTGGAAAAGTTAATCTGCTTTATCCCACTCATTTGAAACCCACACCAGAAAAAAATAAAGCTGCGGTTTGATATCAAAAAGGAAACCTGACCCATATATCTGCATACCGGAAAGTGACTCGTCCTTCTCTTATTCAACCCAGCTTCTTGCTAGATTTTTTATTTTTTTGAACATTTTAGGCCTTATCTCTTATCTTCATGGAGCTGAGCATGTCCATCCCCAGCCCACAGGAAAGGAGGATAGTGTAGGTGGTGGGTATCTGTTTTACCCTGCCTAGCTTAAGGGATCTTCCTCACTGCTGTGGTGAGGAGAGGGTAAGAAGGTGAGTGCAAAAAGCAAACTCCTTTCAGTCAGTGCACGGCCAGCCAAAATCACATTTGCAGCCCAGGCTGCTGTTGGCAAACCTTGGCATGCCTCCCTGTAAGCAGCAGGGGCTTAATTTTTGCTTGTTCTCTCGAGCAGCACCGTGCGAGATCAGGAGAGAGTTTAAACGTGGTGAGCATTGATCCTTGCAGGTTTTGCACCTACACTGCTGCCTTCAGCTCAAGACAAGGATGTCTGATGCACAGTAGAAGAGTCTGCCCTGCTTGCTCGTGGTGTGTCTGGACACTGAGTGCAAAGGCCTTCCCTCTCCCCAGCACACTCTGGCTCATGAATCCAGCACAGCAGCTGTGCTTGTTTTGCTTTTGTTTGCATCGGTGTGGATGGTGGACGTGCTTGGTGTGGATAGCAGGGTGGGTCTTTTCGTGTGGAAAATTATTTCCCGTGAGCCTGGTGCCACACCTTGCTAGAGACCTTTGCCCCTCGATGTCTTGGCCAGAAAAGTTTGAAATTCTCTCTCTGATATCAGTGAAAAGCCCACACAGGTTGAACATAGCACAGGAGTGTGTACATGTCTGCATTCCGCATTGTCAAACTCTTTTAGCCTTATGTTTATCATTGTGAGCTTGATCCTTACACTTCCAGCTTTTGCCAAAGACGTTCTGATGTCCTCATTGCCAGGCCCTTTGAGTCATTACTGCTCGTAGAGAGGGCTGAGCAAACCTTGAGGTTTTCAGCCCTTGGTATCTTGCACATTTCCTGCAAGAGGTGGCAGAAAAATGTGTTTCCTGAGATGAAGTAAGCAAAAAAGAATAGCTATGAAAATCAGACCAAAAGAACCTAAAAAAAAAGTAAGAAAAATAGTAAAGCTATTCATCAGCTTCCTGTTTACCAGAGACTCAGATAAAGATTTACCAGTGGTGTTGCCAAGCTCTCCTCACACCTCTGCTCATACTGCAGCAGGGTAGGTGTGTGTTACCCCAACAAAGCCTCTTTTTGTGCCCCTGCAAGGGCAGAGGCCTGAAGGAGACAGGACAGTGCCACACAGATGCCTGCTTTGAGATTTTAGCCACTGTGGTCAAGATGGCAAATGCCAGATGCCCAGATTTCAGTGCATGATGCTTTCGTGCTGAGAACAGCGTGCCAGTGGCAGGATGCAGGTTTGAATCCAGGGTCCCTGAGTCATCAACCCTGTTTTAAACTACACAGACTTCCCTATTTTAAGGGCATGATTTCATGTGTTTTACCTTTTTCCTTTAAAAATTGGATAATCATCAGGAGTTTTTTCCAGAGGAGGCTCTGGCAGCATAAATGGAGACAAACATGGGCCCTGGTACCCACATGAGGAGTTTCCCACCCTGAGGCCTCCTGGCTCCTCACAGCCCCTGGGCTGACATGGTCTGAGGCCAGTTGAGAGGCAGAAATGGTGCAGCTACTTGTGCTTTTCAGTGGTCTCTGACAGGCTCTGCCTGTCTCAGTGCTGGGATCAGAGCCATGCCTTGGCTGGGCTGGGCGTGGAGCAGCTGCAACTGGGTGCTACTGGTGCAGGGCCACCCAGCAGTGGTGGTGATGGTGGCAGTGGCCACCTTTGCTCTGAGCCAGTGTGGCCAGTGCCAAGGTGTGTTGGTGAGATCTGAGCAGCCAGACAGCACAGGGACCCTTGATAACCTGGTGGGGAGTCATCATCCTATGCCAGAGAAGGAATTATGTGCCAGTCAGTGCAATTACAGTTGCTTGAAAGCCCTAGAAGGAATAAGCAGGCTGCAGGGAAATAAAAACAGTAGGGGCTGATACTGATTTGCCAAGAGGCAGCTATGTCAAATCAGCCTCAATTACAGGCTCATGCTACATGGCAAAGCAGTGGTATCCCATACCTCAGAGCTAGCAAGCTTCCTGAGCACCTCAAACAGACTTTATGTGAGTGCACAAGTGCTCAGACAAATTCCTGAGTGGTTGCCACTGGACAGGAGAGCTGGACAGAAGGATCCTGCAGCCAGGACTGCACCCTGCCCTTGCACAAACCAGCATTTGCTGCAGTTTGCTGCTCTGGATGAAGCTCTGGTGCGTGATTTTGCTACTTTTACACGTACCATCATATTGGGAAGGGGCACAAATGTACTGGGGGACAGGATGACTGCTTAAATTGACCTTGACAGATGAAAAAGCCTGGCAGCAATGAGCTGTGGTGCATTAAGGACACGTCACCACTTCTCCCCAGGGGCAGGGTCAGCTGAGGCCACAAACACAGCATGGGGGAGGCAGCACTTCTGGGGAAACAGCACTTCTGGGGAAGGTAGCATTTTTGGAGAAAGCATCGGAGTGCTGAAATCCAGCACGAAAGAACTGTGAATCACCAGTGCTATGTGACTGCAGAAGGAAAGAGCAACCCCAGACAGGTGACTTTTCCAGTCTGCTTTGCCAGTTTGGGGCACTGCAATGCAAAAAATGACTAAGAAAAACTGGACACTTGCCAAAGAAGAACAGTAACTACAATTAACAGTTTAGAAAGCATTACTTCAGAGGAAAAAACATGAAATGTGAGCTGTTAAGATTGAAGGAAAACATTGTCTTACGATATTTTAAAATAGCTAGAAGTAATTGTTCTTCCATGGCTAAGGTAAATAACTGTCTCAAATTATAACAGGAGGGTTCTAGAGGAAGACAAATTTACTGGGAGTGAATCTGGAGAAGCACTTGGATATTTCATAAGGATAAGCTGGTGGAAAGCAGGGGCTGTAGGAGCAAGTGGAGCAACTGCATAGCAAGCGTAGCAGTGGGACACTGCCCCTGCCTTCAAGACAGGGGATGGACTCCATGATTGCCCAGTGTCCCACACAGCCCTGTCTTCCGTGATTTCCCTGTTCTAACTGATTCTTGCTCGCAGCCTTCTCTGCTCTCCACCCTCAGCCAAAGCACTGTCAGCTGCAAATCTGATAGGTGTCTGTGCACTGGTGAACCAAAGGTTTGGGACAGCAAAGGTTTAAAAACCTAAGTGCTCCAGGGTGAGAAAAAAAAGCATCAGGTAAAGGACAGATGGAGATTTTTGTTCTCAAAGACTTCACGTGCAGGAGATGTATTTGTTTACTCCTTTGTGTCCCACAATTACCCTGTTGTAACACTTGGGTGAGAAAATTCCACTCACTGCTGACACTACTGTGAATGAGTTACTGTGCCGGGAGTTTTGCAACGCACTGATTTCTGCTTGGGTGAAACCAAACGATTGTGCAAGGCTGCAGCTGTCAGTGTTATAATCCTTGTGGCTTTGGTGCCGGCAGCGAAAAGCAGAGCATGGAGCAGAGTGAGCTCATCCAGGCCTCACCAGATACCTCCAGCTGCTTCTCCTACACAAACTCAGCAACAGTTTTTGGAGGATTCTCTGGCTCACAGCCTTTTTTATTTCACTGAGCATCTGCTGCAGGAGAGAGAGCCAGAACAATGCTCAATAGGTTTTTCCTGTGCACATTTGTACATGTCTGCATACACAAGCACTTTGTTATGGTAATACAACTCCACGTTTTAGTGCAGAGTGTCAATTTTTTTGCTGATCAAGATGAAAAGAAAAGTAAAAATTTCTGCCTGCTATCAGCAGAACAGATGCATATTAGTTCTACTGGAAAGTTTTTTAAGCTTTAAAGTCTGATTGATTTTGAGGAAGAAGGGTTAGAAGAAGAGGTTATTTATAAAACAAAATGCTATATTTGAAAATGCCACATTTGAAAATTATAAATGGCAATGTTCTGTCTGGAACTTCTCAGAATAAAGTATTTCAATTGTTCTTCCTTTCCCCCTTGATTTGGAGGGGAAAATCCTTTCCCCAAACAGCTTGGCACTTTCAGAGATATTTCAGTCAACAAAAATATACTTTTTTGGTGTCAAAAAACTCATCACTCAGAATCTTACCTGATCACAAAGTCTCACCCCCGCTTTGTACGTGGGCATACAAATACGTTATTCTCATCAAGAAAAGGAAGTGAACCTTCTGCCGTATGACATGTTTACCTCTACACTGGCAGTGGTCTGATGAAATGAATTTTCGTTAAGATAATGCGGTCCTGCTAAGATGGTGTGTTGATAGCTGATGCTGATAGACCCAAACATTGAGAAAAGAACTAAAGCAGGCAAGGATTCCTCAAAATATAGCCCATGTGTGGCATTTCCTCTTGTACCTCACAGGTGACTGCCAGCCCTGGGCATCCAGGGCTCTGTGTCACCCTTGCCCATCTCTGCTGCCTTGAAGAAGATGGGTGCAAGGGGTTCACTGAGGGTGTTGCAGTTGAGGAAGGGCAGTTGCTGGTCTATACAGGCAGGAGAGACACATAGAAGAGGCTCATTGGGACAGAGAGATGGCCAGGAGGAAGAATCTGGGGTGGGACAATCGTCAAACTACTTGCCAAGCTGCTCCCATGCTGCAGAGGATGTGCTCATCCTGACCTCCCACTGCTACCTTCTCCTGCAAAAATGAGCTGTCCTCATTGTTTTTCTCACCAACAGTGATGACTGTTGGTATTTTGGAAGGCATTTCAGCTGAATAACTCAGCATCTCATAACCCCTATTGCAATTAATCTTGTTTGTTTTCTTCTGCTGAACTAAGTAATCTCTTTCAATATGACAGAGTAAGCCCTCTGAGATGTAAAATGAGGGCAGATCTGAAAGGAAAAGGCCTCCTTTTGACTAAGAGACTTCTTTTATTTTACTGTTGAGCAAAGGCAGAGGAAAGTGATCTTCTTGGATATCAGCACCTGACTTGGCTGATTGCCACAGTTCTGAGATAAGTGGAAGCTGAGCATCGCATTGAAGTAAATGTGTCCTCCTCTTTCTAGATGCGTGGTATGTCAGCAAGCAGATCCAGGAAATACTTAGATTTTTCTTGGAAAATATCCTATCAGGTAGGCTCTCTCACTGCTTTTTTTGCTATATTTTCCTAATGGCTGCTACCCCAACGCCAGAGCCTGTGCCGTGGTGTCAGAAAGGTGCCTCCCATCCACCTTAGAGAACAAAAAGAGTGATACCAGGGCTTGTGGCCAGCACTTCTGCGGCCAAAGCAAGCTCTTGCTGGTGGGGTCTTCTGTGGCAACTACAGTTTCCTCTCTGTGTTCAAACTCAATTCATCTAGACCATCTGTAGGAAGAAGGAGAAGTTCCTACAAGAGCAGCAGCTCAGCTGATCATCACCTCCAGGCTGAGGAGCTGCAGGGATGGTACAGGATAAGGAAACCCTCTGGGGCTGATGTCAGAGGCTGAGCTGGTATGCATGGGGTGTCTCCACTGCCAGGGAACATTTCTGGCTATAGGAGATGGAGATGTGGCCATGCTGTTTGTCTCACAGCAAGATTCCTTTTGGTCCCAGCATTTGCCACAATCTTTCCATGAAACATAGGGCTTCAGTGAAGCATCACTTCCCAGACCTTGGGGCTCCGAGTAGTTTGGAGGAGTGGAAGTCTGCATTACTCTGATGTGCTGATCAATTTTGGGCTGGTTGTGTCTTCAGCTATAAGAAGGCTTGCATGGGAGTTCTTTCCACACTGAAGCAACTTTTCTGACAGAAGATAAAACAGCAGAAACTGCAACTTGGAGTGCAAATAAAGGAACGGCTGTGGTGGCAGCTAAAAGGGAAGCATGAGCAGTGTGGTGCACAGACACTGAAGGCTCCTCAGCTCTGCCATCTCTCTGGGGCTGTGGTGGCTGCTGCAGGCTGACTCTGACAGCTACTGTCAAAACATGAGCAGACAAAACAGAAAGCCCCTCATACAGCAATATTTTTGCTACGTTTTTAAACATGAATGGGGACTGCTTGCCCAGCCTTTTCACAAAGTGGTGATGCCATATGGCTCTTCCCTCCTGTGGCTCACGGCACTGAGTGGGTGCATGGACCCAAAATGGCCCTAAGCTGGAGCACCAGAGATAGCCACAGTCAGTTGTCTCTGTTTTGCTGTAAGGTATTTCTTTCTCACAGGAAATCCTGCAGGAATATGGAGAGTATCACTAAACCTAGTATTAGGAACCAACTAAAATTGAGCTGGAGGGGCACTGCAGGGCAGTAGTCAGGGCTCCTGGAGAAGGAAGCTCTGGAGTGGATTTTAGATAGGTTCTTAACAAACAGATTTGAGAACTTCTTGCTCCTCAGTTCCCACCCAGCACATTCGGAACATCCTGAGGCCCTGGGGAGGATTGCCTGCTGTCTGCTGTCCTATCCCTGGCTATGAGAGACCCTGGGTCATGCAGCCCCTTCAGACATTTAACCAAGGAACATTTTACACCAGCTGACTGTCTCTCCTCCCACAGCAATCCTGCTCCACAGCTCCAGTGCCACAGCAGCACTCACTTGAGCCCAAGGGAGTAAATATTGCTGTCGTATGGCTGTACTCTTTTAAGGTGAGACAATCCTCTTTTCCCCTGGCCATATCTTCACTGGATTGTCTGTATGTAGCAAACATATCCTTTCCATGATCTTGCTTTACCACACTGAGCCCTTGCACTACCCGTCCTGTCGCCTTGCAGCCTCTCTGCACCTCTTTCCGCTGGAGTTTAGCACTTTCGAGTGTAGCTGACCTTTAACTTCTGTGTTCCTAGCTTACCACTCTTGCTGGTTTACCACATTTTATTTGTTATCTCCTCAGGTGAGCTACAAGGGCCTGTGTGTTGGCTTGGTAGAAAGTTCATGTTTGACTGTGTAGCCCTTGTGTAACTCAGGGCTTGATGTTTGCTACTCACAGACTCAGAAAAAGTGTCGGGAAGGATACAAGGGATTACAGCCTGGCTCATAGCTGATATGAAGGAAATTGGAAATGTGTACCTCTCCCCCTTCCTCCACCAGATATCTTCTTCTGAGCGTTCAAGGGAAGTTCAGCACGCCTGCATCTTGCAGCACCCCACTTCTGTGAACACACTGGTGGTTATTTATCTCTGCTGCCCTTCAGCCCAAAGGGACTCTGTCTGCCCATGCGCCTCTTGGATTACCTGTAGGAGAGCCAGCAGGGCTCAGCATGGGGAGAAGAATAAAATCTGTCTGTGGGTTTTCCCTGTCCCCCAACACAGGCATCTCCTATTAGTTTTCATCATTGTAATTTTCTCCATTTCAGCCAACATCATGATTATTGTCTCTTCAGTTGTCAAGCCCACCCCTGTGGGTTTTACCTCCCACCCACCCTCTCACCTGCCAGTCAGAAACAGCACCTTTCCTAAACTCATCTCTACTCCATTCCCTTCACTGCTGTTGACAAATCACATCCTCTTCCTCCTTTCATGAATTCTCTTTCTCTGCTGAGAAAAGCTCGGGTTCTGGCAGTATGTCAGGAACACCAACTACCACAGAAGCAGTTGCAGGCACATAAACATTCCTGAAAGCCAGGTGGGCCAGGGACTCACACCTGTATATCACTTCCCAAAACACAGCAGAGCTACTCTTGGAAGGGTTACATCAAATCCATAATTCTACTCTTTTCTCCGAAACACCGGCCCCACCCCAATTTTTTCCATGCTCTCCTTATTACCAAGCTGTTATCCATGTGCCTTGGTCTGCCCAAAGTACAGCAGCCAGCCCAGCCATCCTCCAGCCATATCAGTCACCAGGCCTGCTGACTCCACTTTTAGCTTTTGTTCTCTTGAATTCAATCTCTTTTCCTCAGCTTTTAGGTCATCTGCATCTTCTTGCTTGCTTCAATTTTCTTTTACATTATGTCATACTGTGTGCTGTAACACCAGGACAGACTACTGACATATTATTAATCATACCATTAGTAGCTAGAGAATACACTCAAAGAAAGCGCTGCTGCAAAAATCTGAAAAACATATGAACAGAAAAAGAGGATCTGGTTTCTCTTGTTCATAGGACCAACTGGGTACTTGGAAGCAGGGTGATGCCCTGGTCACTGTTAGTATTTTGAATACCTCATGGGACAGGGTTTTTTTTACTGTGCTAATAACTAGTGCCAGGTTCTTTATTTCATTACTTCTTTTTTCTTCCAGCCTGTTTTCTCAGTTTTCTTTATCTTCTTGCCTGCAGTATTTATCTTTTCTTCTCTTTGAGAGTCTTTCACTACTCACTTATGTAACAGCAATCAGCAACCTGTAAAGGTACTTTGGACTGGAAAAACAACCAAAGAACATGTGAATAACTCCAATAAAAATCGTGGTTTGTATCTGCCACATACTTGTTTGGGACGTCCTGAGTGAACCTCTGGTATTCTCTGTGCTCTTGAAAGTCAGGAAAATTGTGCCTGTTGAGGCTAATGGACAAAAATTGTATCCTTTGTCTGACTTATAAAGCAACCCAATTTACAGTTTTAGTGTTCCACTAAAGTAATTTTAGTGTTCTGCTAAGTAATTTTAAGCAATTGAATAAAATAAAAAAATTTCAAGCCTGTCTTTGTTTCAATATTTTGTCCTTTTCCATCTTCAAGTCACTAAAAGAAACTTTAAAAAAACCCAAGGCAGCAAAGAAACTGAAATATCTCCACTAAATAAGAACTGATTAAAAAAGCTATGACAAAGTGGTATCAGTAGCTGTGAGTTTTTATTTTGCTCAAAATGCTAATGGGCTTTTAATAGGGAGGGATATAAGCAGATTGCAGTATACAAGTTGTTACTAGCTGAAGAAAATTAAAAACTAAAATAATGTGACCTGGAAATTATATATCAATTTCTGTAAAGAGCTGCAAATTTATTAGGGTGTCTCCTGTCATGGAGACATGTGAACTTTTAAATTTTTCACATAAATCATGGGAGGCTGTGAAGAATGGGGGTTTAGCAGACATGTCAAACTGAATGCTACCCATTACCGTGTTAAAGAAGAGATGCATTTGATTTTTGTTTCGCAGAAGGTGCCTGATAGCCCTCTCACTCTTTTCCTGTTTACCATAGATAGAAAATCTTCTATTTGCCTTCAAGCCTATCCTGTATCTGGCAGCTGCCCATTCGACAGCCGCATATCACCAAATCTTAGCCTTGTGCACAAGTGAAGTGAAGGTGAAGTAAACTCCCTGGAAACCCCTGAGCCTGAGCAGCAGGGGACGAGGAGAAGGGGGCCAGGGCCACCTGAGAGGGTAGAGGCTTCCTGCTTCAAAGGTAAAGTCCATCCATATTCAGTGTGCTATTACCGGGCTGACTGTGGCAACCAGGGGACCTGCAGCAGCCACCTCTCCCTTGATACCTTCTGTAAAAACTGCTTTTTCAGTTTGACTATTCTGCTGAGTGATGTGGAGAGGGGGGAAAATGGAAAATGCTGTGGCCTGGTTGGAAGCTGTTGAAGGCATTAATGGTGTAAGGGTGGTCTGAAGTAGAGCATCTCTGGTCTCTGTTCAGCCCAGGAAAACCACTCGAATTTTGCTGGAAGTAGACGCTTTACAGCTATAAATCTAGATTTATGTATCTCTACAACTCTATTTACAAATGTATAGATCTATATATCTATAACACAGTATTAATTATATTTTCAATATTTTTTAGTTTTGATAGTTGAATCTATGAACTGCTTTTAAGAGGTCCTTGACAGAAAATTAAGAAATGAGAGCCAGTACTGCATCAGTTAGTCACAATGTGTCAGTTTCACACATCAAAAGCATTTGCAGGAAATATTTTCTACCTTGATCTGCTGCTGCAAGAAGAGCCATTATCTAGTGATTCACCAACTAAATATTTGAAAGTTTATACCTTATACAAAGTTTAAATTAATAATGCAGATGTCCTAGCTACAAGCTAAGAGCTCAATATAGTAGAGAATTACACTGTCGATGTGGGCTGCAGCACGGCTTTTCTCTCATTATTTTTTATTTCTGAACAAGGAATTCTGTGGGCTTGAATGCTGTATTTGTAACAGTTTTCTCTGCATTGTGCATGCCAACTGAAACGGTTCTGGTGCCCCAAGGAAAGCTGAGGCAGGTCTGTGAGGCATGAGGAGCATCCATACCTAGAGCAGAGGATGGACACTGGCACTCCTCTGGGCTGCACACAGAGATCTTTCTGTTACCCCCACAAATGGCACAGCCAGGCAAGAAGGGGTGAATTGTGACTCCTTCCTATCAATACAAAAAGTTTTCACTGTTTTCTCTCTTTTTGTATCTCCAGGCAGTAATCTTTAATTCAGGAGAGCACATCATCTACTTCTATGCAATTAATCACTTCCATTCATGTTATTGCTTCATCTTAACAGCAATGACTATTTTAAGTTATTCTTCCTTCCTGGAAACTCAGTGTCTTCGAAGTTCTTTCAAGATGTGGTCAACCTGTAAGCAGGTGCAACACAGGTGCAGCACAGCCTAAACTTTTAAATGTCTCAGCAGTGAAAAACCAAACTCTTTTGAAAAAAATAATCACTTCTTAAAATGTGAACTCTCAAGTCTGGAAACCTTTTATAGGGGTCATGAACTGACATCTGAAACAATAAAAAAGTTGGCTAAAGCAATGACTCACTCTTGGAGAGTATGTCAGATTATTTTACTATTTTGAGGCTACCTTCACTGCAATTCTTCAGAAATGAGAGAGAGGAACCACTCCTGCTAATGTTTTGGTTTTCTCTACACTAAAAAATTGAAGTTGGACAGAACAGGCAGGAGCACTAAGCTGCTGTGATGTGGCAAAAGGCACAGCCAAGCTGCTCCCTAGCTGCCCTGGAGGCTGGTGGCAGCTCAGAGCTTGGCCCTGCAAGTGTTGCTGTGCAGCCCTGTGAACTCCTTGTTGGTGCAGAGATTTTTGTATACAATCCTGGACACATCCATGGAAAAGTAGCTTGCATGTCTCTGCACTCTGTGCAAGTACCTAGCCTTGAGCATCTCTGCTAAAAATGAGGTTATGCTGCTTGGTAATGGCTTCATCAGGCAAAACACTTTTATGAGGGTCTTTATGCTACAGGCAAAAGGCTTCCCCAGTCCAGGGAGCACAGGAAAATTGAGATCCTTAGATCAGATGCAGGATTTGTATTTTTTTAATCATTATGATTATTCAGAGATCTGAATTTTTCCCTGTCATTGTAATGATGAGGGGATTGTCCACTGGCACTAAAGCAGTTTCAGGGGAACAGAGAGCATCCCAGTGCTCACACTTACATGTGTATAGCAACAAGCAACAGGCTGCAGGGCAGCCCTTTGGGTGCTACAGGTGCTCTCATCCAGCCAATGAAATCAAGACTGCATTTTGTAGTCCCCCTCTGGCTCAACACAGCACAGGCAGAAGCAGAAGCTGCCATGGGAGTGCTGTGCCAGGACAGCCAGACATTTTTAACCCTTTCTCTTTCCTACACAGGTATCTGAGATGAATCCCACCAGCCAATTCCTTGGCACGACAGAATATGACTATGGATACGATGAAAACACTGCTCCGTGTAACGAAGGAAACAACTTTGGCAGGTTTAAATCCCTATTTCTGCCAATTCTTTACTGCCTTGTGTTTGTCTTCTGCCTTGTGGGAAACTCCTTGGTCCTCTGGGTTCTCCTGACCAGGAAAAGGCTGACAACAATGACTGACATCTGCCTGCTGAACCTTGCAGCCTCTGATCTCCTCTTCGTTTTGCCCCTCCCTTTCCAAGCCCACTATGCTTCAGACCAGTGGGTTTTTGGCAATGCCATGTGTAAGATAATGGCTGGTATTTACTACACAGGTTTTTATAGCAGTATTTTCTTTATAACCCTCATGAGCATAGACAGGTACATAGCAATTGTCCATGCTGTCTATGCCATGAGGATACGGACAGCCACTTGTGGCATAATTATCAGCTTGATCCTGTGGCTGGTGGCTGGCTTGGCCTCTGTACCCAATATCATGTTCAGCCAGGAGATGGAGATCGAACAGGCTTTGCAGTGTGTCCCCACATACCCCCCAGGTGACAATACCTGGAAGGTTGCTTTCCAGTTTGCAGCCAATGTCTTGGGCCTCTTGATTCCCTTTAGCATCCTCGTTTGCTGCTACACTCAGATACTAAAAAACCTGCAAAAATGCAAAAACCGGAACAAGGTCAAGGCAATCAAGATGATCTTCATCATCGTCATAGTTTTCTTCCTTTTCTGGACTCCTTTCAACATCGCGCTGTTCCTCGACTCCCTGCAGAGCCTGCACATCATCAATGACTGCAAGGCCAGCTCCCAGATAGCACTGGCCCTGCAGGTGACAGAAACCATCTCCTTCATCCACTGCTGCCTGAACCCCATCATCTACGCCTTCGCTGGCGTGACCTTCAAGGCCCATCTTAAAGGACTCCTTCAGTCCTGTGGTCGTGCCCTCTCCAGCCCTGCCAGAGGTGCCGGCACGGGACAGTCATTTTCAGCACCCACCCAGCTCTCTGGCTGGTCTGACAGTGCAGGGGTCCTGTGAGCACACCTGAGCCACCTTCTGCTGGTGTGAGGGGCTGGCCAAAGGTCTGCTGTGGGCCTGGAGGTTGTACCATGTGTGCAGCATCCCCTGGGAGGTGCAGTATGCCTGTGTCTCCTGATGGGATACGCTGTGAACTGCCACATAAGAACTTGTGACATTGATTTCCCAAGAGAACCAGAGCATTTGTAAAATGGTGGCCATACATTGCCACAGAATAATTTTCAATTAAGTTTTAGAGATCTTTTAATACACTTCAGTAAGCAGGCTGCTTCCTCTAATATCTATTTTCTCCTCTGACAAAATTGTCGCTTCTGCCTCAGCCCCAAGTATGCTCTGCCCTGTGGAAGCTAAATCCCTGGGACAAGTGTGTGACACCCCTCTGGAAAGTGGGGAAGTGGACAGGCATGGGATTGCTTCCTATTGCAAAGAGGGAATCACCTCAGACCCTGTCACAGTTTCCCCTGTGCCTCAGCTCCCAGATGAAAAACCCCCTCAGCTCAGGACCCTGTTGGTTGTGGGATGGTCCCTGGGGCACAGTCCTGGAATCCTTGGAACCGCTGCCACCCAGAGCAGCCTTTGGTAGTGATGTCTCCAAAAATAACAAAGCAATGGCTCCAGGTATCCTCTATACTGGTCACTCGTGGAGGCTCCTACACTTGAAAATGTTGTCCTCAGAGCAGGTGGGGGCTCTGCATCCCCTCTGGAGCTGTGGGAGCCCCAGCTCTGTGCCTCCAGTGCTCGCTGCTAAGTGTAACCATCATAAAATTACCTGGAGCAAAGTAGGCTCAATCTCTTTTCCCAAATGTCTTTATTTTCTGCCATTTTAAAAAAGCTTTCTTTGAATAAACATTAGCTACACCTTTTTTGTCTTGGTTCATGATAGTCTGCCTAATGATCACAAGCCTCAATTAGGATAAGGAAACTTTGAGTTTGCTTATTTTTGAGTGGATATCACATAAAATGTGTCTAATGGAATTGAGAGGCACCCTGAAGCTCTTCAGCAAAATAAATCTTATCTTCACTTTTCTGCTGAGGAAGCTTTGTTCTCTATATCCCAGTAAAAATTCACAGGGGAAAAAATAACATTTATATTGAGGTAGTATTACTGAAAACTCATTTTTAAAAGTTAATCAAGAGAATACCTGGAATCAGGGAAAAACACAGCCTGAATATTGTCAAAGATTTTATTTTTTAAAGGTAATAAAAAATTTAAATATTTTCCTAATTCTACCTTTCCTTCTGAAAATATAATTGAATGTTTTCATCCTTCCTAAAAGTTTTTTAAAAAATTAATCTTGGTGCCAAAATATTCTTGCTATTAACTATATGGCATAGAAGATACCTTTTTCTTTTATTATAGATAGCATAAGAAACATTTCTAGGTTTTATTCCTCAATGGATAAGAAATGCCCTGCAACTCTATTATAATATTGTTTTACTTCTCAGAAAACTTGTATTTAGAAATAAAACTCTCTGTTTGTGCATTTCTGTGGGGTTTTTTGGGCTGCATAGGGACTTTAATGATTGAAAAGAAATGTGGGTCAGCATCTCACGTCAGGTATCTTCTCCCTGCGGTCAGATTTTGGAGTTTGGATAAAAGTATTTCTGTTTAAAATATTCAGTGACACTTACCATCGTTTTACTTGTTGATCTTCCAGATCAGGAAGGAAGAAGAAACAGAACTTATATCAATATATTCTGCTTTAATTGATATTTTGAGAAGAAGGCATAATGGAAATGTCTGACCAGCCCTCACCCACTGGCATTTTCCCAATAAGCAGTAAGATTCTCTCCAGGTTACAAGACAAGGGTCAAACTCTGGTTTCTCTTTTCTGTTTTTTTGTACAGCAATGCTCTGTGTGTGTGTGCAGTAGCAGAACTTACCCCAAATGATATGTGAAGCCTTTACAAAAGAGGAAAAAGTGTGCTTTGCTGGGCCCACTGAAGAGTTCCCCCCTCCTCATCTTCCCCTTCTGTATTTAAAAGACATGTATTTAAGAATTCAGGAAGGTAGATCCAAGCCCCACATCCTCTGCCCAAGCACAGATAATCACTCACAGACCCAGACTGCAGATTCTGAGGACACTTCCCTTCAGCAGGCTCCTCCTCTGTATAATCTGACTGCAAAAAGGAATAATACATGTAGGTATTTTGCCCCTTTTATTGTAAGAACTACCAGAACACAAATGCAGACACAAATGCACCCAGCTTCACCCCAAAGCACTTTCACAAAGCAGAACACCCAGAAGCATTGTGCCTCTTCTCTAAACATAAAATTTACTTCTAATGGTTTGGACCACAACACTTTATGCTACTCTTATATGTGATGGAAAGAATCTGTGGAGACAATAAATAATGTTCAAAAATTTTTGCACTTATATGCACTGATACAGTTCTGGAAAAGAGCACTACATTCACAGGATAATAATAATGACCTGGTAGTGCTGTTTCTTCAATTATACATTTTTTTAGGCAGAAACTTCTCAACGACAATCTACTTTTCTCTGCAGGTGTAATAATCTTGGAATAAATCAGGTAGCAGATGCACTATTTCCTCAGTTCAAGGGTTCTGACACACAGTAAAAATGGTAAAAGAAATTTTGCAATCTACTCATAACCAGATCAGTTAGTTTTCATGTGCTGAGAGGTTGTTGTATACCTGCATATAGCTGCAAATACTACTGCAAAAGTGCCAAGTAACAGTCAGGTTTAATGTCACCCAGATTTCCTGGGGGTGGGTGTGATACTGTGTATATATATGCCAAAATATATAGCTCAGTCTTGTTCCACTAAATTAGTGAAAACGTGATCACTATTCAGAAGGGGATGGAATAAGGAAATTATTGCTGTTTGTAGAACAGATCTTCTAATGAGATGTTACACATCTAAGGTAATTAAAAGCTGTATTGAAACCATTGTTATCAGATTGCCAGTTAAACTACCGAATACCACTTTTCACATTTAGTAACATTTCTCTACCTAGTTCTGAACTCTGTGTTCTGAAGGGTTTTAAACTTTCTAGATATTGATTTTCATCTAACATGTTTCACAGACCTCTCTGCTTCATTTTTCTTTGTCCTTTTGTAGCATGATGCCTATGGCACTGTGACCTTATCCAGGTCTGACCTCACTCTACTCCAAGGCCTCTTGGCCAAGTGTGCACATCCTCAAAAACACCTCCCAGACCTTTAAAGTAGGTGACTATACTAATACTGTGCAAAGCACTGCAAAGGAGCACTGACAGTTAGAAAAGCAAAATAAAAGTGTGTATTGTGGTGCTCTTTGTGAATCCGTCTGGCTTTTCTCCAACCTATGATTGCCAAGTTCAGAGCTTTCACAGTGTTCCTCAGTTCTATTACCATGGGATAGCCCCAAACTTAAGAAGGTGTGAGACTGAATTTCAGATATCCTCCATTTGGTCCACCCTCCCAGGCTAGGGTCATGTTTGAGATCCACCACTGAACTCAGTATGGCAGGATACAGCACTCATTGGGAATTCCCATAATATTTCCCAGGGCTTGACATCAGAGTTGAAAAGATCCAGGTAAGAAGTATGTATTACCTCAGTCTCTTATTTAAGCTCAAGTTATAAAGAAGGATATTAAGAATAGTCAAAATCGATGACATTGCTCATTTGTGGCCACACACTATAACTATTTGTAGTCCTTACACTGGAATCTTGTCCACAGAAACACATCTCGCACCATCTTCAGCCTCATACCTTGTGTGGGTTTTGCTCCTCTTAATTAGAAATACATTATAACCAAAATACATTATCCAGTGCAAACCCCAGATGCATTAATAAATTAACCCAGAAGTGAGATACAAAACTTTCTGTGGTTTGCAATTTCTGCTGTAATGACCTCAGAATGCCACTAAGTTCCAAAACGTGCCTGACTTTAACTTTCTTTAGGAACCCGAAAATCTCAGAGATCTGCTCACCACTCTGGTGGCCCTTAGGTGACTCTTGTGCCCAACTAGCAGTTCCTTTCTTTCTCTTGGCCTGACGAAGATAATCAGAAGATAATCTTTCATCCATCCCAGTGCACTCCAGCGTCAGCTGGTCAGTCTGTTTCTCCCCCTAGAGAGTCATCCTGTTCTCTTCCTTCACACCGATTCTCAAACTGCTTTCACTTGTCACAGCATTCTGACACAGCTTCTCCAGGTTGTGGCTCATGTCCAGAGCCTTTTAATTTTTTTAAGCTTCTTTCTCAGGCAGAGAAAATGTTAGGTTATACCTCAGGAGAGACTCCTTGATTTCACATTAAAAAACACAGGTTGGACGGTCTTAGACTTCCCTGACAGACTTTTCAGTGAAATGTGTAGAGGGAGGGAAGTTGGAAGTGCCAGTGGTGAACGCTGTGCAAGCATTTAATGTTTAATGCATTTAACATAGGAACAACTAGGAGACAAGAAATGGTCCCTGGACAGTGTGAAAAACAGTTATAGACAGTGAACTTCTCCAATATCCAGTAGTATTGAATATACAGTGTGACTTATTGAAGTCTTGTAAAATGGAGCACCAGTATACAAGGTTAACACCCTGTAAGGGTCAGTCCGAATTTTCCCTCATTTTTTTTGCCTCCCGACCATCGCAAGGAGACCTCAAGGACCCCACCCAGGCTGACTCTGGACAATGGTTTCCTGGCCTGGCCAGGGTGGATGTTTGTCAGGTGACTGTGTGCAGGTGTGTTGTGTTCACTGGACTGTGCTGTTGTGGCACCAACCGGAGGTTGTGTTGGACCAACTGGAGACTGCATGTACTGCATGACCTCACTTGTCTCCCACAGCACCACACAATGGTCTATAAATCTTCCCACTTTTTGGCCAGAAGCCACTTGCTTTGGAGAAGGACTATAAAAGAGCAACCCTCTGGAGAAGACCCCTGAGATCTCGCCACAGATGAAGACCCATCTATTGGCTGGCCCATGAGGACGTCCATCTCATCTCATTGGTAGCTATTTTCCCATCACCTTCTTTTTCTCTCTATACTTTGTTTCCTATATCTCTCCCCTCTATCGCAACTGAGTTGTTGGCATTTAATAAAAATGCATTGCTGTTGTTGAATAAACTGATTTTGTCCCCTGCATTTTGCCTGTTTGCACCTCTGAGATCAAACGAACCATCATGACCCCCGCTCTGTATTAATAGCGGATAGTGACACACCCCAAACAAACATGCCAGCGATAGCTAGGTTTTGGGATTTCAGGCGAAACCAACTTTAGGCAATGAAAATAATTTTTTTACCCTAGGATTCATGTAAGTCTTCATGTAGGCCTTTATCTTAGCATACTTTAGTACAATTGAGGCAGAAGTATCCTTTAATTTTTTTAAAAGGCAGTTTTCCTTTAAATTCTCTTGCTCACACAGCTTTTCCATTGAAGTAATTTTTATCACTTACTTGTGGCTTGCTTTCATCTTAACACTTACACAATCTTTCCAAGA